GGGGGGGTATTAGTTGTTTAAAGAAGATAGATTAGACAAAAGAGAGGGTTGTTTGTGCTTTCAGTTCAACTCACAGGAAATTATAAGGATGCTTCATTGCTGGTAAGGGCAAAAAACTAATTTCTGTACTTGCTGAAAATGTTTTTATCCTAAAAAATAACAACACAGCTGCCACATGGTAAGCTGCAATATACTACATTTTTGTTCTTGAGTTTAGATATTAGATACATTTTCAAAGTTGTCCTGGATAATCTCCAACAAACAAGCTTAGGAGACAATAAACAACACTAACACAAATACTACTCCTGTATTACGCACAAGATAATTATTCTCTGAGAGACCACTATAAATAAAATACAGAACTAAGAAGCCAAGCATAATAGAGAGATGCTTCAATCTTAGCCTTGATCACAAAACACATCAGAGAAAAGAACTGTGACCGCCTGCAGAATCACCAGGATGGGGTTTCTCAAAAAGGTAAAACTGTGGGGACCTCTTGTGCCATCCATTGTACCTCTGGCTTCTTACACATAGCAGCCCTCCACGGATTCACCCTTTGAAGGGACCCTATCCCGCTGGTTCTGATATTGAGAGGGGCTATACAGGCTGTCCTTACAGATTTAATTTGCGTGTGTCCAATCACCTGAAGGCAGCTGCATAACCCATTGGTTCCAGAATAAACTCCCTTGCAATGTATTTTTAAGAAAAGTAAAATATTGAGTGGCAAATAAAATTTTAGGCACCTTTGGCAGGTGACAGTTTCTATAGGTATATGTAGTTCAACTGTATTCAGCTGCTTGTCTGCCATTGAGCTTTAAAGTGTAACATTGGTCAGGTTATGGACATTCAAATGTTTACATACTGTTAACAAGCACAAAAATGAGCTTTAAATCGAGCCCTCACTGACCTATAACTGTCTTATATAGCTGCAGGCACTGTAAAGCATCTCATCCTTAAAGTTCAAAGGAGAAGCACTGAAGCTCATCCAACTTCTATCCCTCCCTGCTGCCCCCTCCTAGCAGTACCTTGCAGCTTTCCAATCTCTAAAGTAAACACACAGGACATGCACTGGGAGAGGAAAGCAGGAGAAGCTGAGCTCCTGAGATAACCGACTCTAAAAACTGCTTCCGCTGTGAACTTTAAGAAAAGCTTACTCCAGGGTAACTGAGAGGTTAGTAGGGACGTGTTTTAAAGCTCATTTACTGCTTAAGAGTAAGTAAATACTTGAATGCCAAAAACTTGGCCTTATTATATTTTAAGGTATTTGTAAACAAGGCTGAATTAAGAGGTGGCTATCATGTCAGAGGAAACCAGCAATTCGGGTCATGTTGCATTTCTTAACTTACCACTATGGCTTCTATTGGATTAGGAGAGCACCAGTAATGACTGGTTTCTCTAAACCCTGTCTCCTCCATAGCAATAAACATGTGTTGCCCCAAATGTCCACATATAAATGACTAAGATATTTTAAGTAGTACTAAAGGCTGGTCGATTTTTAACTTAATGCATTAAGGTAAAAAATGCCCAGTACCGCCGCCCCCCGCCACCCCAACACACACTCTCCTGTGAACATTGCTCTCACCGCCGCTCGTCCCTGAAGCGATCCTCCATTCCCCCAGCTTCCTGGTTGCGGGGGGAGGATACTGAGAGCAGAGGAGCCATAGGCTCCTTCTGCTGTCAGACAAACTGTTAAAAGGAGAGGCGTGGCCTGCCCGTGTGGGTCTATGGCCGCACACAGCTACTCGCGGCTACGGTTTGGAACGCGCACACACAGGTGTCTCCACAGCAGCAAAAAAGAAGAACCAAAAATCTGTATCACATGTGGCCATGCATTTAAAAAAAAAAGATTTAATATCACTTTAAATATATAATGGAATATGGGTCTAATACCTATGACCATCTTTAAAGAATATACAGAACTTGCAGTAGCTTATGATATCCTCTTAAATGCAGCACAGGCTTCCTTTATGCTAAAATGGATGACAATGTGGACAAATGGCTGCATAGCAAAGTTAAATACAACAGCAAATACCTCAGTTACTATTTAGGCTCAGTACTTGCATGCATATTTATGAATGGGGTTTGTTTTTTCTTTTACTCGTTAACTTGCCATTTAGGTTTATAGCCTTTAAACAAATATTTGGCAGGAACGAAACAATAAGTAATACGATCATAAGTCGAGGGCAATACATTTCACTTACAATACCTATTCACTTACCAAGTACCATGCTGCCCAAGCTTGAACCTCCACAGACCTGCATAAAGACTATGGTTTTGAAATAAATGCTAAGGAAGTTATTCATGTTAGTTAATAGAGTCCTAGGCCTTTGCAATTTAATTGCATAGCAGGTGAGATGACGAAGGATTTCCCCGTGTAATTTATCTTCTCTTTGATGTTTCTTTAGCTTTCTCTATGTCAGAGACCATCAAACACTTAATTAAATCAGAATCATAAAGGGACAAAGAGAAGAGGAAAGAATTAATTAAAGTCAGTCTCTTACCAATAGCTCTGGAGACAGACAGGCTTCCATTAACTCTCCATGCCCCGAACCAGACCACGCAACCGCCCAAGGCCTCTATGCGATGTTTTTCATCCTATAATCACACAAAGGGGATATTAAGTATCAAAAGCACTGTCAAATATGTCAATATTTGACAGTGAACAGAAGCATGCACATTTCACATAAATTGATGGACCCAAGCTGTACTGGATTTAGACTGGAAGTGGTTACTTTGCTCACTGCCCAGGCATAGGATGACAGAACAACTGTGTCCATTGTTAAAATGCAAGTCCCCATCCTATTTAACCCCTTCGTGACTGACGACGTACAGTGTACGTCGCCAGCATCGGGGCTGTTTAAACAGACTCCCGGCGACTTTTGCCGCCGGGACTCTGTTTAAACTTGTAGAGCCGACTGTCGGCTTTACAACAGAAGCGATCCTGGCGACTTACCTGTCGCCAGATCGCTTCTGCGTCCCGAAGAAGGGGCCG